AACCCAGTTAACTCAATCAACCCATCGGGTTCTATTGGGTTGATCAAGTTACACTAGTTCATTCCCTCACTGGTTTATAAGTAAAACCAGATCGGACAAGGGAATGGGTTATCGATTTTTAGGTTGACCTAGCCGGTTCGGTCCAAACCCACAATCTCTTAGTCACCAAAAGAATTTATAGCCACTAAGCTACCAATACTTTTTAATCATACAATGCACAACTTTTTATATTGTATCAACGATGTTTTCACTTTCCAAACTAATATTTGTCAGAGGCTTAATGGTTACTTGTTATTTTACAAAACATTGTAGATGAATAATGAACATGTGGAAGATGAATGTTAAAAAATTCAATCAAAAAAATTTTAATCCCAACTAAAGTCTATGATCTTTTTCTGAAATTTCATAATTTTAGGGTCCTCAAATATGATTAATGTTCTTGAAAGATCCTTAAATTCACAAGTTATTAATAATAAAAGGAAAATAGATCTACAAGTCCTTATGATTTTTCTTAATTTTAAATTAGGTTACTATAGTTTTTTTTTAACTGAGTTCTTATAATTTGATCCGTTAGATTTTTTTTAATCTTGAAAGTTAAAATCTTTGAATTTTTACATTAAAAATAAAATTATAAAATTTTATATTTTTTATTGCAAGATTATATAACTTTAGAATTAATTACATGGTTTTCATGAATCAAAATTTATATAATTAAGTTGTCTTCTAAATATACATATAGAATTTTTATAAAATATTTTCTTTTCTAGCCAAAAGTAATAAATTAAATTTTCTATAAACTCAAAAAAGGTTTTTGTCTTGAAAGAAGTTAATCATTATATTCATCGTTAATTTTAATGTTCAAGGATTAACATATGTAATGGATTAAATTATAAGGGCTTGATTATGAAATAAATTACAATGACCTAATTTAAAATTAAAGGAAACTATAAGGACTTGTAGATTAAGTTTTCCATAATAAAACTTATAGTTTATTGGGAAAATGATATTTATGGATCCTCTAATAATATTATTTGAAGTTAAGCATGTTTAAATTTTAAAATTTTAAAAAAAGAACCATAGTTCTTAATTGAAATTATTTTTTTTCCGAGTTAATTTTTTTAGTACTTATCTTTTACATTTTCAATCCTCATTTTCCACATTTTTAGTACTTATTTTTGGCATTTCACTACTCAATTTTTCATTTTTCTTTCAATAGTCATCTTAGATCAATACTCATCATCATTTTTCTTAGTGCTAAAAATACTTATTATAAGGTCTCCCTTATTAATCCACATTTAAATCTAAAATTTTTTATAGGTCACCAAGTTTATAAATCTTATAATAAATGGATTCCAAGTTTTCAAATTTTTCCAAAATACTCCAATGGACTTTTATAAATGAAAAATCAGAGTAGAAAATATGTACAAAAACACAAGATGCTAATTTATATCAAAACATTTGCATTTCAGTTGAAAAATAAAAAATTAGTATAAAAAAACAAAGGTGTGTCGTAGCTTTTTGCACGTGCGTTGCAGCATGTGTGCCTCTATGCCATGTGCTGCGGCACATTGCACAACTTTGATAGCATTGTTGCTATCATTTGACAACAATAGGGTGCTGTCATTTGACAGCAATAAGGGCAAACTTTTGACGTATCCCATTTCTCTGTTCAACATCTGATCAAAGTGATCTAGGACACAAAGAACTCTCTCTTAACTCTAACTAATGGTAGAACTTTCACAATCAAATTATTTCTCTGTCAAAAAGTGAAAACTCATTTTTATACTCACTCCTTTTCACAATTCAAACATTACTTGGGTACCTAAATTTCAATTCAAGTGCCAAAAGAATGGGCTAACTCACAATAGGCTCGTCCATGTGATGAGACTACCCTAACTAGTCGCGTGTAAGAAGAGTCCCGACCAACCTTGTTTAACTCACTCGTAGGCCATAGTTTCCTCCTAATCTCATACCATGGGATGTCTTTCTTCTTAAATTAGCTTTTTCATCGAATAAGTAAAAACTATTGTAGCTTCAAGTCTATTATTAAACAATGGGATAGTCCCTTGTTGAATAAAGTAAGACAATAAAATAATAATATCAAGGCAAACTATTAAGCTCTAATAGCTGTCTTACCACATAGATTTCAACTCATTACTCTACTTTGTAAGCAAACTCTCGCCTCACATGATTATGTGATGTATAAGTGCAATATCACTTAGCATGCAAAATACTTAATATATAGGCATGCTTAATATCACCATTGTACTCACATCATATATGATCATTACATAAACACACAACAACACATCATTGAACTCCATACCACATATCATTGAACTCTACAAAATACCATATCATTGAACTCCACCTTACAAACACTCATTGAATTCCACCTTACACACATTCATTGAACATCACATTATAAGTATTTATTTCAAAACTTCCTCTTGTTATAAAATGGGAGATTACAATTTTAGGTGCCACACTTGCATTTTAAATAATTTCACACGTTTCAATTATAGTGTATAAATCAAGAGAATATTAATACACAAAGTTTGAATGGTGCCACGTTGTGATCACTCTACATTTAATCACAATAATAATCATCAATACCCTTTGTAGGATAATTTTCAATATCTTGTTCAACATTTCCAAAATTTCAAAACTCACTCTCCTCATGTATGAGATTACCCATAAGGTTTATTAGCTTTCTCTAACTTACATTAACTTTATTGAACTCCCAGCTAACCATTAATGACATTTCAACTTCTCCAACAACCTTCATAAATGCCATTTTTGAATAGTAATGGCACCTACACATCAAAAACAAGCTAGGCAATAAATGTTATGTTTAAAAAACTCTCACTAACTCTATTTAAGTTAATGAGTTCAAACTCAAAGCCTCTATAGTTGAAAATCATCTTTTCTAACAAACTCTAACTTCCATATTTAAGAAAATGGAAGAGGAATGAAGTAAAGGATTTAAAAGGCTTACCTTTAATGTTTACAAGCTCTAAATTGCTTGTAATCCTTCAAACATACAATGCCCTAGCAAAGCCCTTTTGTTTCTCTTCATTCCTCTTTGTCTCCTTTTTGTTCTTTTTTTGTGTCTGACACAACTTGATAGACCACACATAGAGCTAGAAGGCATGCCAAGCCTAAAGGGAGTCTAAGAGTTTAAGTCTAATGTGCCCAAGGATCCATTATAAAGCATAGGAGACCTAAATAAAGCTCAAACCAAAGCTATAAAGGAGGCCCTAACTAGTCTCATTAAAGAAGTCCAAGAGCTTAAGGCCATGTTCTTTAATGGGTTATGTTCTTTAATGAGCTTCATACATCCCAAAAGCCCAATGAAGAAGGTCCACACTTTCTTAACATCTTAAAGATCCAAGTCCATAAAGATGCATGCCCAATTAGTGAAAATCCAAGCCTACTTAATTCACCATGTGCTGAATAAGTTTGAGGGCTATTTTGGTTAAGAAGGGGATGTCATTTATGATTAGATTTGAAGAGGGAGAAGGTTCCACTTATGATAAGATATGAAGAGGGAGAAGGTGTGATCTCCATCATCTTTAAGCTTTCAATACAAATTTGAATTGTTTCCTACGTTAGCCTAAGTTTGAATTTCAAGACTTAATTGTTTTTCTTTTTTATTTTCAACTTTAATGCTGATTCTTTTTCATTACTGTAGCTTTTATTAGGTAATTTGACTTAGGGAGCAAGACTTTAGTTATTAGAAAAGTTTTTGAATTTCCTCATCTGGCCATTATTGTTGAATCTTAAAAAAAAAAAAGGAATCTTCCTATTTTGTCAAGGAGGTGGCACCATTTTGGAGGAAGTCATCTAGGGTTAGGGATTCTAGAGTCTTCTATTCTCTTGCCTATAAATAAGCCCCCTTATGTACTCTTTCAACTAAGTGATAAATGAGAATTTTCTCTTGAGTTTGGTAAAACTCTTCATGCAAGTTGTGCTTGTTTGTAGGAATTCTAAGGTAAATATTGACGTGATCAAGAGTCTGATCAACTCTTATGGTGTCTCAAAGTCTAAGGTTGCTAGAGCCAGCTTGTTCTAGTTATCCTTTTCCTTGATCCTTATCATTCTTTGTCTTTTCATTTATCCTTTCCTTCATTTCTTAGTTCATTTTCACCTCTACATTTCTTTGTTTCATTTTCACTTCTCTTATTCGTGTTATGAGTTTTGTCCCGAATTAACACGATCCCGCTTCCACCCCTGTATCACAACTCTATTTCTCAGAATTGTGACCGTGCACCACAACACATGCACCATGTGCCATGGCATGTGGTACAGAGAAGCCTAATTCATGCTCTGATGACTTATGCCCTACGACATGTGGTGCACAGTCATTGCGCAGAGTCATTTCCCTTTGTTTTTCTCTCATTTCAAGGTTTGGGTGGCCTAACTTTACCTTGGACTCACTTTTAAGGCTAAAATTATAACTCATAACATCCATTAGCTCTCTGTAATCACACACTATATTAATTACTTAATAAACCTTATTTACTCGGCTAATTGAGGGTTAAATTTTTTGAATGTTACACTTATTTTTGATTGCTTTCAATATTGAAAATTTGAAAGATGAGTATTGAAAACATCTAAAATAACTATTGAAAAGAATAAAAAATGGAGTACTAAAAATTTCAAAGATAAGTATTGAAAATATGGAAGATGAGCATTGAAAAAATTTAATCAAAATTTTTTTTAATGCCAGCTAAAGGCTATAAAATTGTTTTGAAGTTTCATAATTTTAGGGTCGTTATCTATTATTAATGTTCTCAGAAGATCTGTCATTTTTCCGGCTTTATAATTTAGATGACATGATTCACCTGATATACGATCATCTTCATCATGACACATTTAAAATCATCAATATTCACTATAAGAGTATTCTTCTTTGCTCCTTTCGTTTTTCCGAAATTTTTTTATGACGAGATGATTCTTCTCTAGCCACAACTTTACTAAATGAGCCTAACAGAGATGTAGTTTCTATTTGAGAAACGAGACGGATATGACAATCCTGGAAAATACAGGACATACTGATGGAGAACACATTTTATTAGACAACCGTAGGAGTCCAATTTGAAGACCCTTACTGATCTACATAACAAAGAAATAAATGCACGCACGGATATGCATGCGCGTGAGTGTATGTTATGAGGCCAAAAGTGATACTCGTTTGCGCCCTGCATAATCCTGACGAAGCCTGTTATAATCATTTCTGTAGTGCTCTAGTGAGAGGCAAAGCTGCCTTATGGCTTCACGTTTCTCTTCTGCTCCTTCTAATATCTCATTTCTTTGCCTTTCAACCTCTTCCTCTAGTTTCTTTCCTCTTTGTTTAAGCTCTTCCACTTGCTTCTGGGCCACTTCCATTCCAGCTATCAACTTCACGTGTTCCATGTGTAACTGGTTTAAATGCCAACCTAGTTGTTCAATCTGATCGTCTCTTCTGTTTATCTCTCCCCTGAGCCTACAAACTTCTGCATTGAGATCATATCTTTCTGATTTTAATGCATTCAAAGTTGTGTTCAGGCTTCTTCTGCTCTCTCTTTCCTTGATTTCTCCCTTATGTGCCTCCATCTCTGCTTTCTCGGAATTGATCTTCTTCATCTCTGCATCGGTCACAGCTGCTTTTAAATCCATGATCTCATGATCTTGGCCTAAGAGACTGAGTTTTGTGTTTTCAGGTCTTTCTAGGAGTTCGTTGGTCTCATTTTTCTCAGTGTTGAATTTGGTCTTCCAAGCAGTAATGTACTTTGAAGCTGAGTCCAGATGATCCTGCAATTCTTGAATTTTCTCAGATGATGTTGTGGTTCCAACTTCTAATGAAGCAATATGCTTTTTTGAAGCTTCAAGATTTTCTTTGGTGATTCTTAACTCCTCCTCCAGTGATTTAATCTTACTATTGGGCTCCAAATCTTCCTGAGTCGATGAGAATTCTACATTAGCCTGCAAATCTGCTGAATCCAGGGACCTCAATCTGTCAAGTTCAATCTTTAGAACGGAGATTTCTTCTTCGGAAAGCCTTAATTTTTCATTCACTTTCTTCAGTTCTTGTTCATATTCATTAACTTTGACATGAATATATTCACAATTCTCATTTCTTGCCCCTCTTTCTGCAAGCTCTTCCTCTTGCAGCCAAAGTTTTTCTTTCAAGTCACGTACCTCAATTTCCAATTCCATTATTTTCCTGTTCTGCCTGTGATAATCATCAATACTTCCCAAGAAACCTGAGTCATTATGAATGGAAGAATCATCAGATTCCTCCTCAGAATCTGCTGTCCTAGAAGATTCAGATCCTTCTCCACGTCCAGCATCGTAACCATTTCCACCAGATCCAAGAAAAAAATCAAATCCAGCAGCTCGATTACTGGATTTACGATGGCCCGGCCTTCCAGGAGAAGGCATGGCAGAGGATTGCCCAGAAACGGAACCAATGTCCGATATACCTGAGCCTTGGGATTGAAGATCAGAGGGGATGTTCTTCCTCAATTCAATTGTGACATGATCATAACGTTCAGCCAGAGAACGATACATTCGATAGAAATCCTCGACAAGAGATATCAATTCGGGCCTCTTCTGATAATACATCTCAGCCTTCTTGGCAAATGAATCTGCATCCTCCTCAATCAGCTTCAGCATTCTCTTCACACTCTTGTCCATTTCTGAGGTGAAAGATCGTTTTATCATTTTCTTGTCGGGCATTTTGATGAAAATTGGTGTCGAGATTTGATGAAACAGTAGAAAACGTGTGTAACAAAATGTTTGATTCCTCCGAGAAGTTCTTTATCCAGTAAAATAAAGGAAGGAGATAACCAAGATGCTAAAATTACACCAACGTTAATATCTGAACCTGTTTTAACTTTTCCTTGTTTAGGTAGTGGAATAAAGGTACTAGGTACCTTGATGGTTAAATAGCCCATAAAACCCCAGCATAAGATTAACAAATTCCGTTCGAACAACATAAGCACAAAGGTTTTAACATATATTCATCAACCACTAGTAAGGTTGGTAAATTAACCCATATATCATGTTAACCATCCTAACCCAGAACTACATTTAAACCTTAGGACAACAATTTAAGCGTGTGGGGATTTCAAGGATAAACTCATGGTTAACTTGCTCACCTACCTCGTTCTTCCCCTTCACATAAATGGGTTCAGTGCTTATTATGGAAATGTGAAAGGCTTAAAATAGCTAGACCAAAGAAAAGTCAGGTCTCATGTACACATCTTCATATCTAAATTGAACAATCCAAATCTTATAAATTTTCTTAATTCAGTTTTAATATTTTTTTATCTTAAATAAAGCAGAATGTAAAAATAATATAATGTTTTAACTATTAATTTATGAAAACAAATAATTTAACCTAAAAAATATAAAAGTAAAATAATAAAATCTAGACCATCCAAATCTCATCTAGATGAATTATAGATATGAGTACATGTGCATATCTGAAAATTTGTGCAACAAAATGAGTCCCTAGGTCTCCTTTTAAGAAAACAACCACAAAAAAAAAACAACTAATAAATTATTAATTGAAAAATTTATAAGTGAAAAATGATTATCATGCAGCTCTTCGCCCTTACAATATTTAATTCCAGATTTGCTCTTGAATAATAAAAGTTAGAACCTAACAAAAATTATGGGGGAAAGGAATCGATGTGTACCATCGATCTTTAGTTTAAAAATTTATCAGATGCCAAATTATAGTAGATATGGGTCCCTTGATTATTAGTTAACAAAAATTATGGGAGAAAGGAATTGATGTGTACATTGGTTTTTAGCAATGTTATGAAAACCGGACCGGTCATTGAACCGGTCGAGGTACTGGTTCACGGTTCAATGGTCGGACCGCGGTTTGAACCGTGGTCCAACCGGTCATAAATAAATTGATATATTTTAAATATTATATATTTAAAATATAAAGAAATAATAATATATAATAACAAAAAATGAATGTTTAAATTTCAAACAAAATAATATAAAATAAAAAATATAACATTCTTCAATATTACATTATTTTCATCCAAAACATATACAAGTGTTTCATAATTCATAATTTATAACTTTAAAATATATACACATATACATAATTTATACATATTTTATACATTTTTTTATTTCATAATGCTTATCAGGTATAAATATGTATTAATTATAATTTTAAAATATGAATTAAAAATAAAAAATTAAAAAATAATATAATCGGTTCAACCGGTTCTTGCCGATTTTAGCCGGTTTTACCGGTTCGTGGCCGGTTATACCGGTTCTTGAAATTTTTGGTTTTTTGTGATGACCGGATCGGACTTGGGACTGGTTCCCGGTTGAACCGGTTGGACTGGCTGGTCTAGTCCGGTTCTGATAACACTGGTTTTTAGTTTAAAAAAGGAGAAAATTTGAGGTGGGGACCCTTGACCCAAGATAATGAAAAAGAGAATTCCAAAATTTATGAAATTTCATTAAAAGACTTGTACGAAATTTCTTTTGAATTTGTGATGGAAATGACAAAATTGCCCTCATTTAAATACAACAACAACAACAACAACAACAAGCCTTTATCCCACTAGGTGGGGTCGGCTACATGGATTGTAAGACGCCATTGTGCTCTATCATTTATTAAGCTTTTAGAAATATTATTAATTAAGAGATCACGTTCAACAACTTCCAAGAGTGTTCTCTTAGGCCTTCCTCTACCTCTCTTAATCGGACTCAAAGTTATATGTTCCACTCTTCTCACTGGTGCCTCCCTTGGTCTTTTTTGTACATGCCCAAACCATCTTAACCGATTTTCTATCATTTTTTCCTCAATAGGTGCCACCCTCACTTTTTCACGTATGTGCTCATTTTGAATTTTATCTTTACGTGTATGTCCGCACATCCATCGTAACATTCTCATCTCTGCTACTCCAACTTTATGCTCTTGCTGTCCCGTTAGAGCCCAGCATTCACTACTATATAACATTGCCGGTCTGATAGCAGTACGATAAAACTTTCCTTTAAGTTTATTAGGCACCTTACGGTCACAAATAACTCCTTTAGCTTTTCTTCAATTAAACCACCCAGCTTGAATTCTATGTGAAATATCTCCACTGATTTCGCCATCATTTTGAATAATGGCTCCCAAATATCTAAACTTTTCCACTTGAGGTATAATTTGATCTCCCAATTTCACTTCCAAATTATTTTCGAATAGTCCTTTACCAAATTTACAATATAAATATTCCGTCTTACTTCTACTCAGACGAAAACCTTTCGACTCCAATGTCCTCCTCCATAACTCAAGTTTGCAATTAACCTCTTCTCTTGTCTCTGCTATAAGAACTATATCATCCGCAAAGAGCATACATTTCAGGATTTCCTCTTGAATATGTTCCGTCAAAACATTTAAAATCAAGTTGAACAAATAAGGACTCAGAGATGATCCCTGATGTAGTCCAATCTTTATAGGAAAATTCTTTGTTTGACCACTAGGCGTTCTTATACTAGTTTTTACCCCCTTATACATATCTTGTATGGCTTTAATATAAGCAATCCGTACTCCCTTTTTTTCCAACGCTTTCCAAAGCACTTCTCTTGGTATACGGTCATAAGCTTTTTCCAAATCAATAAAAACCATGTGTAGATCTTTATCTTTACAACGATACTTTTCCATTAATCCCCTTAGTAGATAAATCGCCTCTGTAGTTGATCTACCTGGCATAAAACCAAATTGATTCTCAAAAATACTTGTCTCTAATCTCAACCTGTGCTCAATTACTTTCTCCCACAATTTCATTGTGTGGCTCATGAGTTTAATCCCTCTATAGTTAGTACAATTCTGAATATCTCCTTTATTTTTATAAATAGGAATTAATGTACTTCTCCTCCACTCATCAGGCATTTTCTTGGACCGTAAAATCACATTAAATAACTTAGTTAGCCATCTCACCCCTTCTTCACCTAAACATTTCCACGCTTCGATAGATATACAATCAGGTCCGTTCGCTCTACCATTTGCCATTTTCTTAAGAGCTTCCTTTACCTCCTTATCACGTATTTTTCGATAGAATGACAAATTTTGTTCTCCTTCACCAGTTACTAAATCCTCCAAGTTACTAGATGAATCCTCTCCATCATTAAAAAGTTTAGAAAAATAAGTCTCCCATCTATTTTTAATTTCATCATCTGTAACTAAAATTCTTCCCTCTTCATCCTTAATACACCTTACCTGTTCTAGATCTCTTGATTTTCTTTCCCTACTCTTGGCAATCTTAAAAATATTTTGCTCTCCTTCCTTCGTCTCAAGGTTCTTATAAAATTCTTCAAAAGCTTTGGAACGAGCTTCACCCACAGCTCTCTTAGTTTCCTTCTTAGCCATACGGTACCTCTCTCAATTTTCATCATTGTTACACAAATGTATGGCTTTAAAACAGTTCTTCTTATACTTGATTTTGTCCTGTACACTATTATTCCACCACCAAGACTCCTTATCTCTCGGACCAGAACCTTTCGATTCTTCCAAAACTACTTTTGCAACCTCTTGTATCTTTTTAGCCATATCCTCCCATATGATGTTAGCACTTCCCTGAGAATCCCAAATTCCTTTATCCAAAAGATTTCGCTTGAAAATATCTTGCTTCTCACCTTTTAATTGCCACCACCTAATCCTTGGTGTTACTACTTGTCGACGTTTTTGGATTTTACTCAAATACACACATCAAGGACTAGGACCCTATGTTGTGTCGTTACAGCATCTCCAGGGATCACCTTACAATTTTTACAAAGTTTTCTATCTGTGTTCCTAACCAAAAGAAAATCAATCTGCGACCTTGAGGCTCCACTTTTGTAAGTGATGAGATGCTCATCTCTCTTCTTGAAACAAGTGTTGGCAATCTTAAAATCATACGCCAATGAGAAATCAAGAAGAGTTTGCCCTTCATTGTTTAGCTCTCCAAAACCAAAACCACCATGCACCCTCGCATACTGACCAGCTTCCCTCCCGACATGCGCATTAAAGTCTCCTCCAATAAAAATCTTTTTACTCTGTGGCATGTGTCGAATCAACCCCTCCAGATCCTCCCAAAATAATTCCTTAAGACTGGCTTCTGTCCCGACTTGCGGCGCATAAGCGCTAACAATATTAACAGTCTCACGTCCAATTATCATTTTTAAAGAAATAATTCTGTCTCCAATTCTGCTAACTTCTACAACGTTCTTCTTCCACTCCTTATCTATAATGATGCCTACTCCATTGCGTGCACTTACTTTTCCTGTATACCAAAGCTTGAAACCTTGAATATCCTTAGCTCCTTCTCCACGCCATTTTGTTTCTTGCAAGCAAAGGATATTGATTTTCCTTTGAATCATAACCCCTACAACCTCTACAAATTTACAATTTAATGTCCCAACATTTCAAGTACCAAATTCTAAACCCTCATTTAAATAAACAACATAAATAATTTGTTCGTTCCCATAATGTATTTGTTTATTTACTTACTGAATGTTATTTGTTTCCCTACTTTACTTGTTTATAAGCCTATTTTTACTTGATTTCATTACAAGAGCCATAAACAAATGAAGTAGGAAAACGAATAACATTCCATAAATAAATGAACAACATATAGTATAGAAGTGAACAAGTCGTCTTATTATGAAACCAACACTTGGAATAAAATCAAGTAAAACTAGGAATATAAGCAAGTGAATAGGAAAACAAACAACATTTCATAAGTAAATGAACAATATACAATATGAGAACAAACAAGTCGTTTATGTTATTTATTTAAATGAGGACAATTTTGTCATTTTTATTACAAATTCAAAAGAAATTTCGTATGAGTCCTTTAGTGAAATATTAGAAATTTTGGGGTCCTCTTTTTTATAGTCTTGGGTCAAGGGTCCCCACCCGAAATTTTCCATTAAAAATTTATCAAATGCCAAACTATAGTAGATATGGGTCCCTTGATTATTAGTTGACATGCATGTCCCAATTCTTATTCTTAAACATGACCTGAAAGAGAAGCAGCTGCTTGATAATCTGCTTTTCTTTATTTTTATTCGATTCACGAAAAGGGAATATAAATAAATAGTATGAGCACTCCTTTCCATAGATGCTCACCTTCAAGATTTTCTGCAAGCCACTTTGAATTCTTGGGACTAATATGACTATCCCACCACCAAGAATGTGATTTTCTCGATTTCATCCTCTTCATTTTCTGCTTAGAGTGAGTCTGAAATATGAACCAAGTAAGAGAGGCCATGAGATAGTGAGAAAGCCAAAATTCAAGTGAGTAAGCAATGTTATTAAAGAGGGAATGGAAAATCATCATTAAAAGGAGGACCTATAATAGATATGAGTATTCATGAATTATTGTGCTGTTGAGAATTAAAGGACAGCTTAAAGTGAGATGCAACCAATTTGTCTTGGATATATTGGAGGTATAAAATATAAATGCTAGCATATACTAACTGAACACAAGAATGGGAGGAAGGTTTAATGTCTCTTACTGTGCAATCCATACAAACAGATAGACATATTAGCGAATAAGAAGGGTATACAGAGAAAAGCAAAGAAAAAGTATGGAACAAAATTTATGCTCACAGATCCACATGTGCCTGAGTTTGATAGACTGCACATGCCATTAATGTCGGAACAAATAGCAATCAAGTTCATTCTCTCACCCCGGAAGTAGCCATCCACTTTCACTATTGCTGCTGCTGGTTCGTCGAAATTCTAAAATCAACACCAAACTCCAGCATAAGGACCAGATCGTCACAAAATTAAAGTGAAAACTAAAACAAACAACTTGAAATCTGCAGATTCAATCGCGAAATTATAGATTTCATGTGTTTTTAATCATGAAAGTACAAAGTAACCAACGAGTCCAAATGCCCAAAGGCGAAGTAAAAGAAACCAAACAAAGAGTGTGAAAGAGCGAGAGAGGGAGCAGAGTGTCACGGCCTTGGAACTCCCTTCTCTTGAACCGTGCCGGCCTTAGCTTGATCCCTCTCTTGATCTTTGCTAAGTCAGCCGAATCCCACAAGTAGGCAAAGAGGCTAAGACAAGTAGATGCACAAGTAGAGAGTAGAGAGCTTGAGTGAATGAACTTTAAGAGCTTTTGCACTATGCTTAAGTTGCTTGTATTTACAAATGAGGGGTGAGGGGTATTTATAGGCCTTCCCCTTTCTCTAGAAAATTCCCACCTCCTTAATGGACGGTTGGGATTGATTCGATCCTACGGTGTACATTCTATCTCTAGAATATTTTATAAAAATATCTACAACAAATATCTAGATATTTACAAAGAAGTTTCTAGAGACTATCCTTCAAGATATGTGTGGAATATTCTAGAACATCCTAGAATATTCTAGATATCTCCACATTCCTCCATAAGTTTCTAGAACCTTCTAGAAACTTCTAGATCTTTCTAGATTTCTCTAGATAATTTTAGATTGTTCTAGATGCCTCTAGAACATTCTAGAATATATTGGACCCTTGTTGAAAGCTCTGGAATTCTCTCCGTTATTCTGGAGGTCTCCAAAAATTCCACAACCTTGTAAGTTCTCTTATATTTGAATATAGGTTGTGACATTCTCCCCCACCTAATCCAGTGACGCCCTCGTCACTGACTTGATTCATGTGTTGAGGATTCTTCCCACAAGGATCCTTCTTCTTCTTGGTCCTTTTACGATTCATCTCCCCCTGAGATAAGATCATCCCTGGCCGTCCTGGCATGCTATCCTCCTTTAGTACCCGCATGGTTGATAATCGTGAAATTCCACCGCTTGAAGTGGGTACCGTACGAGCAACTCCTCCCTCGAGGATGCAGAATACATTATGATATGGCATGATAAAAGCTTTTACCTTTCTCATGAACTCCAAACCAAGTACCACTTTGTTGTCGTCCATACGAGCAACTGAAAAATCCACCTTTCCATGCCAATCCCCAAGACATAGCTCGACCCCTCGAGCAATGCCAACTAAGGGTTGAGGAGGAGAATTAGAGACTTTTAATAAACCTCCTCCCTTTTCAACTTTGAGACCTACCCTCTTGGCCTCTTCTGGAGAAATGAAGTTGTGGTTGGCCCCATTATCCACCATGATGCTGACAGGCTTCCCATTTAGCTTAGCCTTCACATGCATTAACCCACTACCTTGTAAGGGTTGGGCTTTAGAAGAGTTGAGGAGTTGAATTGATCCTATCCTAGGATTTTCCTCTTCCTCTTGCGCCTCCTGCTTTTGCACTAAAGCAGATAACGTCCCCAACTTCGGGCAATCCTTCATCCTATAGGGGCCTTGACATACAAAGCAGCTAAGTTCTCTCTTTTCCTTCTGCTTTGTTTGGGATCCCTTCCCAATGTCTCCCTTGTTAGTCACCTTCCCTTCAAGGTTTGTCCCTTTACCGTTTCCTTCCCCACCATTCTTAAGGTTAGGGTTAGGAAATCTATTCTTAGGAGATTCACCTCTTTCTCTTTGAAACTCTGAGAGACTCTCAGCAAGCACTATGGCTTCGTCAATAGTCTTGACACACCACCGCTGCAACTCATGCTTGGCCCAATTTTGAAGACCATCAATAAAGTAGAAGAGACCCTCTTCACTGCTCAGATTCGGAATCTGAAGAGTTAAAGAGATAAATTCCTGCACATAGTCTGAGATAGTGGTCTTATGTTTCAGCTCTCTCAACTTCTTGCGAGCTACATAGACCACATTCTCTGGATAGAATTGTCTCATCAATTCCTTCTTAAAGTCTTCCCAAGTGTTGATTGTACAAAGCCCCTTCTCTATGTCTGCATGCTTCCTTCGCCACCATAACATTGCATTATCAGTAAGGAAGTAAGCAGCAGTACGTACCTTGGTTTGATTGTCTGTTATCCCCAAGGTGTCGGCGTAACGATCCATCTGCCATAAGAAGTTCTCAACTTCTTGGGCATCCCGTACACCTTTAAATTCTTTTGGTTTGGGAAGATCCATCCTCACTTCCTTGATTCCACTATTTCCATCCAATAGTGGATTCCTTCCTTTTGCCTCTAAGGAAGTCTTGAGAGTGTTGAGTTGTTATTGCATTACAGTGATAGCCTCCATCACCTTCACCTTCAAGGATTTAACGACATCATCCCGTTGATCCTCTGAGTTTTGCAAGGCATCCACACTACTCTTCACGCCTTCAAGCTCTTTGAGAGTGTGGCTTTCCAACGTACCTATATCACCCTCAACTTTCGCTACTCTACCCACCATTTCCTCCATTGCTTTATCTAGAGCATCAATTTTTATAGAGAGTATAGTAAGGTCTTTTGAACGTACCTTACTAGAGCCTCGTGTCCTCTTGCCACCTTAGTGTGGAAGTTGGGATTCCCTTCTCCTCTCCTCATCGTGAGCAAGAGTCTCCTCAGTTACACCTGACATTCTTGCCTACCGGTAGCACTATCGAAACCACAGCTCTCTCGAACCCTGGCTCTGATACCACGTTGTCACGGCCTTGGAACTCCCTTCCCTTGAACCGTGCTGGCCTTAGCTTGATCCCTCTCTTGATCTTTGCTAAGTCAGTCGAATCCCACAAGTAGGCAAAGAGGCTAAGACAAGTAGATGCACAAGTAGAGAGTAGAGAGCTTGAGTGAATGAACTTTAAGAGCTTTTACACTATGCTTAAGTTGCTTGTATTTACAAATGAGGGGTGAGGGGTATTTATAGGCCTTCCCCTTTCTTTAGAAAATTCCCACCTCCTTAATGGACTGTTGGGATTAATTCGATCCTACGGTGTACATTCTATCTCTAGAATATTCTATAAAAATATCTACAACAAATATCTAGATATTTACAAAGAAGTTTCTAGAGACTATCCTTCAAGATATGTGTGGAATATTCTAGAACATCCTAAAATATTCTAGATATCTCCACATTCCTCCATAAGTTTCTAGAACCTTCTAGAAACTTCTAAATCTTTCTAGATTTCTCTAGATAATTCTAGATTGTTCTAGATGCCTCTAGAACATTCTAGAATACATTGGACCCTTGTTGAAAGCTCTGGAATTCTCTTCGTTATTCTGGAGGTCTCCAAAAATTTCACAACCTTATAAGTTCTCTTATATTTGAATATAGGTTGTGACAAAAGTCATCAAATACAAACAAAACTGACCCCTTAGTTGAATTTGTTTCTCAATCGATGAGAGTTAAGAAGAAAACTAGATGAGTTTGCAATGAGAATAGTGGAGACAAAATACAAATTCAACAGAGAAGCGTGGTTGAATGTGTAAAACAAGACAATGAATCAAAAGAGAGAAGGAAAAAACATACATACTGGAATTTGAAGGAGCAGAGAAAGGAGATGAGGATTGAGGATATGAGTTCGCAGCTTTGAAGTAGAGCTTGAGAACTGCGGTCCCATTCTGCCATTTATATAGAATAATTTCAGTTTCCACGCTTTTCACGACCATGACAAAATAGTCGGAAAACTGAAAGTACAGTTAGTAAGTGCTGCTAATGATGCATCAACAATTGATATTTTCAAAGTTATTGTTCAGGAAGAATTTCATCATAAGACGTGACATCAGAAATTTAGGACTAAATTAGAATTAATATTAATTGTAAAAAGACTATTTTACCAAGAGTGTTATTAGTTCAAAAAGAGGGGAGTGAAAGAGAGGATTATAATAGTACCTTGTTCGGTTTTGTTTTGTTGAGAGGAGGAGAAGAGGAAGTTTTAATGATTATTTATTTTAAAAGAAAGATAATAATTAATTTACTATTATATCCATGTACATTGGTTTAAAAAAATTTAATTTTTTCTTGTAGAAATTAGTTTTATACCTCAATTTAAATTTCATAATTTTTTAAAAATTCACTCTCATCCTATCATATCATCAATATATGAATAAGAATATTAAATCAATAATTATAATGATAACAATTTTTTAAAAATAAATAACTCCCTTAAATATATATTAAAATGCCATAAGTTGTAATTTTTTTTAAAAAAAATTCAATGAGATCAGTCAAGGCCTAAGAACGAAGCATAATTTAATATAAAGAAGAGTTTTTCAACTATGTGTATGCTTATAATATTGAAAAATAAATAACGGCAAAATAGTTGTTAGTTCTAATAACTTTATAACACTTATTTATTTCATAACATTCCCAATAAATTATCTTACTTTATTACTTGTCAAGTTATTTAGCATGTTAATTAAATTACTCTCTTCGTCTAAACCTATAAAATAATATCGGGGCCCTTGAAAGAGAGTATGAAAAGCGTGGTCCCATTTCGCCATTTATATATAATAATAAAATAATAATAATAATATCAGTTTCCACGCTTTCCACGACCATAACAAAATAGTTGGAAAACCGAAAGTACATTTAGTAAGTGCTACTATTGATGCGTCAGTAATTGATATTCATTGTTTTTTGATATATAGTACACCCTTGATGGATCAATGTTATTGACTCAAGCCCACATTATATATTTGTTGGTTTTAAAAATTATTTTTAATTTAATTTTTTCTTTAAAATTAATTGGTTAATTTTAGAGAGAAGGACAATTAAGGATCTTGTAAGAATATTAATTCTAATTACAGATCGTGAAATTTTGAAATCTCAGTTAAGAATCATGATCCTTAATTGTGATAAAAAAATATAATTTGTGAGGTGGGATTAACTAACGCGACTTGAAAATTTACTAATCCGACTTGAAAAAAT